AAGATCATCCAGTCCCACCCCCTGCATGGGCAGGGACACCTCCCACCAGCCCAGGTTGCTCCAAGCCCCATCCAACCTGCCCTTCAACACTGCCAGGGATGGGGCAGCCACAGCTTCCCTGGGCAACCTGGGCCAGGCTCTCACCACCCTCACACTCCACAATTCCCTCCTCATGTCTCACCTCAATCTCCCCTCTCCCAGTTTTCATCCATCCTCCCTTGTCTTTGTCTTGGTTGGGTGCCATGTTGTGGCTTCCACCAGACTTTTCCACAGCTGTGGGATGCAGGGAAATCAACTGTGGCTCAGAGAAAAAGGTCCAGAAAAAAAGGGATCAACTTGGGACAGCACAGGAGGAGCTTGGCAGACAAGCTCTGTACCCCAGGTGCTCCTTGAATATGTGGGGATCTGAGGGGATTCATCTGCATTTTGTCTCAGTGTGTTTTCATTTGAAGCAAATTGGTTTCCATCAGGAAGGTTATTGATGAACTGGGGTGGAGAAGGGGAAGGGGTGGGCTGGGGAAGGGGATGGGGCAGCTTCCCCTGGGCTGTGGGGCTCGTTAGCATGAGGGGGAATCAAGCGTTTCATTACCTGGTGTGAATTGTCTTGCAGTGCAATGTAGATGTAGAGACTGGGGAGCCAGAAGATGATCTCACTCCAGAAGCTGTTGAGTTCTGCCAGAAGCTGGGCAGCCAGGCAACCAGAGTCTCCGAGATCATCAGCACCAAAGACAAGGCTGTTTACGCCGCCATCCAGAAGGGGATTTCAACAGTCAACGAGGGAGCTGTTTCCAATGCACAGAAAGTCCAGAAATGGATTATTCTGGAAAAGGACTTTTCTCTCACTGGTGGGGAGCTTGGTGAGTGCTGGGTGGGACACTGGGGTCACCCCCTCAGCCCCTCCTTGGATGATGAACAGACCCAACCAGGAACCCAATGCATAGAGCTACCCCTGGCCCTTCCTTCCTGTGGCTTTTCCATGTAGTTTTGAATCATGGAATCCCAGGATGGTGAAGGTTGGAAGGGACCTTCAAGATCATCCAGTTCCAACCCCCCTGCACAGGTAGGGCCACCTCCCACCAGCCCAGGTTGCTCCAAGCCCCATCCAACCTGCCCTTCAACACTGCCAGGGATGGGGCAGCCACAGCTTCCCTGGGCAACCTGGGCCAGGCTCTCACCACCCTCACACTCCACAATTCCCTCCTCATGTCTCACCTCAATCTCCCTCTGCCACTGTAAACCAATTTTTCTGGTAATCAGTAAACACTGTATCAGATCATAGAATCCCAGACTGGTTTGGGTTGGACGAGACCTTGAAGATCATCCAAATCCAACACCCCCTGCACGGGCAGGGACCAGTTGTGCTGGGCAGGACCAATCCAAGCAGAACTTACCCTTGGTGCTGCCTTGTCCCTCGCAGGGGGTTGCGCTGGTTCCAGTCACAGGGGAAAGGAGTTTATTCATCCTAAAGAGAAACCCGAGAAGTCGGCATCAGTTCCAGTTTGTGTCTGCAGGTGGCACCGTCACCGCTGGAACCTTGTGCTGTGTTTTTTTTTCCCCAGGCCCCACCATGAAGCTGAAGAGACCCGCGGTGCTGCTCAAGTACAAGGACCAAATCGCTCAGTTCTACTCGGACCTGGAGGCCCCGACCCCAACGGCCCCGCAGCCGTAGCCCCGAGGGGAGCCGGGGACTGAAGCAAACCCCGAGGATGGTTCCCCAGAAGGTTCCTGGGGCTCCCCAGGAGATCCCCTGAGCTCCATGGAAATAAAGGAGGCTCCAGCATCCCACAGCCCCTGGTCCCCTGCCCTGTACCTTTCCTGGCCCTGCTACTGCAGCGTGATGTGTTTGTGCCCAGAGTTTCCCTGTGTCTCTGTTCCAAAGCTGAGACATTCCTGGGTATTTCAGCTTTGGAGTTTTTTGTCTTGCCATTTTTTTTTTAAGGGTGATCCAATGTTTTACCTTCAATCCATCTCACCTTTTAACCAGTTTTCTTTTCCTGAGCTGAATGTAAACCAATCAGGAACTGCAACTTTTCCAGCTGAGGGGAAAAAAAAAAAAAGGCATATTTCTTCTTATATCCATGTACTTCACTCCCCCCCATGTGCACTGAGCTGCACCCTGGTGGCATCTGAGTTATTTACACCTCTTCACCCACAAACTGTGTCTTCTGTGACCACACGTGCTGCCTCAGCCTAGAAGTAGAACCTCAGTGTTTGTACGTGCAATATTTTGAGTCTCATTTTATCTTGAGTTCTAATGAAGCCATAAATTGTATTGTTCCAAGTAGCAGGTGTGGCCTGTGTTCTGAGAAGTGTTTGTCACAAAGGGACCGTTTCTAAGGCTATGGAGGAAGGTCCTGTCTGGGCTCTTCCAGGTCCTTGCAGTGGTGGGGAGGAGGTGGCTCTGGGGGAACCTGGGGCTTGGTTCTTTGGAAGGTCTGATCAAGCCCTGCACAGACTGTAGGACCCAGGGGATCCCCCCCTTCTGCTCTACCCATTGTTGGTGGGTCTTCAGAAGAGAGAGTTGGGGTGTTCAGCCTGGAGAAGAGAAGGCTCCAGGGAGACCTTAGAGCAGCTTCCAGGGCCTGAAGGGGCTCCAGGAAAGCTGGGGAGGGACTTGGGACAAGGGCAGGGAGGGAGAGGACAAGGGGGGATGGATGAAAAGTGGCAGAGGGAGATTGAGGTGAGACATGAGGAGGGAATTGTGGAGTGTGAGGGTGGTGAGAGCCTGGCCCAGGTTGCCCAGGGAAGCTGTGGCTGCCCCATCCCTGGCAGTGTTGAAGGGCAGGTTGGATGGGGCTTGGAGCAGCCTGGGCTGGTGGGAGGTGTCCCTGCCCATGCAGAGGGGTTGGATCTAATGATCTCTAAGATCCCTTCCAACCCAAACCATTCCATGATTCTATCAGTCTCTCCCAGCCCCACTTCACTTCAAACCCATTCCCTTTGTTTTCCACCTCCTGTGCCACAATCCCTGTTACTGCTCCACAGAGAAGCAAAAACAACCACCAAAACCACTTCAACTTTTACTTTTCCATCTTGCTTTATTTCACTTTTTTCTAGAAAATTCCTCCATAGTTCCACAAATTTAACAAAAAGTTTAAAATTCAGGACAAACAATCCTGGAACATATTACAAACATGATTTTTTTGTCATTTTTTTTGGTCATTTTTTCTTTTTATTGTTTTTTTTTTTCCTTTTAAAACCTTGAAGTGAAGTCTTGGGCCAGCTGAAATTTCCTACAGCTGAGGGAAGAATTCATTTCCCCAACACAACTTGGTAAAATCCTCAAGTGACAAGGTATTTAATACCTTGGCTCTAAGCAGAAATACAATTTAAAAGTTCTCTAAGAAGCTGAAGTACTTACATTTCTTTTTCTTTAGGAGTGCAAACTCATCTTGTCAGGTTTTGATGGCTATTCCCTCCCCTCCCCCCTGGGGAAAGCAGCACCCAGTGATTTTTTTGGGGGGTGGGTTTTGAAGGGTTTTTTGTCTGTGCCACTTGGTGGGGCACCTGGGTGGTGGTGGTGGTGGGAGAGAAGCTCCAGTGCAGTTCCCAACATCAAGAGGTGGGATTTGCAGATCCAGAGGGGCTGAGGCCTCTGCTGGCAGAGGCCACAGGACTGGGTGGTTCCCCCCAGGGAAGGTGAAACTTTCTGGCCATCAAATACGTGTCAAGATCTGAAAAAAACAAAACAAAACAAAAACCAAACCTGCTTCTGGGTTGTTGCATCGATTGCTGGGCTCGTTCTGGTGCCACCACCGGGCACAGCAATGGAACTGCTGGGGAGATCATTGCACTTCCAGCCTGACCACAGCACAGCCAAGTCTCTTTACCTCCGTGTCCAAGATTCAAGCTGGGCTCAGGATCCAGCCAGGCCTTCCTAGCCTTTCTTTCTCATGATTATTACCAGTAAATACCAGTAATCAGAGCCTCAAGGCTTAACACACACAGAGAGCAAGGCAACAGGAACACACTCCTGTTCCCACTTTTGCCCCTTAATCCAAGACCAAAGGCCAAGTTGTGTCCTGACCTCTCCAACGTGATCCCATTCAAAGCAACTCTGAAAGCCCTGGGGGCTGATCAGCACCTGCTGGTGCCATCAAGCAACAAGGTGAAGGACACTGAGAAGTAAGAGAAGTTCTGTCCATTTTCCTTGGAAAACAAAACCCCAAAAACCATTATGGCTAGAAATCAAGTTGGGATCGATTTTTTTATTTTTCATCTTTTCTTTTTTTTTTGCCTTTTTTTTTTTGTCTGTTTGTTTTTTTTGTTGGGTTTTTTTGTGTTTTTTTTTTTTAACAAGCAAAGCTACTACACATCCTCGAAGACCCGAGGCAGTGATGCTGAGGGCAGCACTGCCACCTCCTTCCTAGAGTACAAGAATCCATCCATGCTCTCAAGAAGTGACACAAGAACAAACACTTTTATCCACAACAAAAAAAAAACAAAACAAAAAACAAACCAAAAAACCAAACCAAAACCTGTACATGTTCAGCACAGCGTCCAACCAGAGAAGCTACACAGGGAAACTCCCTCATCTGGAACTAAAAGGGGACACAAGATGAGGCCCAAATGTGACCATTTTCTTTTTTTGGTTGGCAGAGTCATCCCTCCTGTGGTCCCCAACGCTGCCACATACCCCAAAAAACAACAACTCTGTAGAACAACTAAGTACTTGCAAGAAACCTTTTTAGTAACAAATCAGCATGTGCACACAATGGAAAAGAACTATTGCGGGGGGGGGGGAGGGTGGGAAGGGGGGGGACAATCCTATTTCAGGTTTTCAAGGAGATTATAAACAGTCTAAAAAAATCCATGTGTAAAATACTTCTTATAAAAACCAAACAAAATTCCTAGCAATGCTCATTAGACTTCAGGAATAAAGTCAGTTCCAGGACAGGACGATGTCACAGTCACGGGTGGGAACCCCGGGTACTTCCAGCCAGGATCAGGAACACTATCCCACATGTGTTCCTGGACTGGTTGGGAGCAGAGTGACCATTTGGATCTTAAGGTGAGAAGGGGACAGAAAGGAGGTGGCACCTCTGATCCCAATCTTGGGGACAGAAGGGAGGTGGCATCTCCAATCCCAAGGACAGAAGGGAGGTGGCACCTCCAATCCCAAGGACAGAAGGGAGGTGGCACCTCTGATTCCAACCCAGAGGACAGAAGGGAGGTGGCACCTCCAATTTCAAAGACACAAGGGAGGTGGCACCTCTGATCCCATGGGGGTGAACTCTGGAGGCCACTGACAGTACCAGGAGAGCTGCCAGGATGGGCTACATGGATGCAATAGGAGGAAACAACCCGTGTGGAGAGAGGAGGCAAAGACCTCAGGAGAACTGGGGCTCAGGCTTGCTCCTGCTGCTCTGGGGACAGGACTGTCCCCAACCCCCTGTGCTGGGGACAGAGGGACCATCCTGCACAACCAGGGAGCTAAGCCTGGGCCCGCAGTGCCCACACCAGGTTTGCCTCCTCCACACCACCCCAGCAGAGCCCAGGAGCCCTTCACATGTACCCACCACACCCCAGCATGGCCCCAGGTGGGTCCATGCCCCTCGGGCTCCATCTCCTCCAGCACGATGTGGCCCAGGCAGGGCACAGCTGCAGCTCCTCCTCTTCCTGCTGTCCTCCACCTCCTTGGTGAACATCTGCACACAGGGTGTCTATCCAGGCTTGGCATTGTCCATCAAGAAAGAAAACAGCTGAGATCACTGTCGTGACAGGGTTTGCACCTGGCATGAGCTCAGTTTTTTTATATATATATACACATACACACACACACACAAGACACATGGAAGATGGTACAAAGACAAAATTAATGGGAATCGGGTCAACATGACCCAACTCAAACAAGCTTATCATCATATTGCCACTTAAGTTGATTAGTTGCAACATTTCCATGATAAAGAAAGGGGTCACCCAAAACAAGGGACTGCAATTCCAGAATGGAGAAGGGACAACAAAACCCTGGCATGATCCAACCCCCCCACCACTACCAGGGCCCCACGTGGGGCTGCCACAGACATGGGAGGTCCCCTCCTGAGCAGAGGCCTCCTCCAGACCCCTGCTCCCCCCCTCACTGCCTGCAGCCCAGTTCCCATTTGGCAAAGGCTGACACACTGATTGGAAAAAGGGAGCAATTCTGCCCCCCAAAAATACTGGATTTAGGGATCAGGAGTGTAACACAGTTTTGATGAAAGCCACAGGACTTTCCTCACGCCCACCTTGGTAACACTTGGAGGTCAATACTAGTTTAACTAGAAATACATGAAATATTCTGGATTAGTGTTTATTTCCTGCCATGTCTTGAACAGGTAGCAGGGTGGGAGAGGGAGGAGGCAACAAACCTGCCTTCCCGTGGTCTTTAAATCAGTTTTCCAGGTGTGTCCCAAGTTCAAATTCTCCCTTGTTTTGGTTTTCCCAAAGTACAGCCACTACTATAGGGGCCACTGTAGGAGATTCCTCTTTGAGAACATAGAACAAAACCAATCACGTATTTTGGCAAAGTTATTCAACACTGACTGATGAGAAGACAACAGGTGAGTCCCTTCCAGAGCACAAAATGCTTTGAAGATCTCTCTTCAGCTTCCAAACACTAAAAATTGTCCACAAGAGGCAGTTGGAACAAACAAGTTAAATCTTATTAAGCGCCCTCCCCCTGCCATAGCC